ATACAACTTATAAATACATGCATTACATCTAATAAATTTGCATTTTATAAATGTAAAAGGACAATAGTAATCATAGAACCACAATAAATTAAGGAAAGTGCATATGCATAATTATGTTATGTGTATTCAGGTTTAATCGTGATAGAGAACATAGCAGAGGCCGCCGGGGTGGTGGTGGTAGAGGTACCAGTAGAGGAGGTGGTGATAATGTTCGTGGAACTAATATTAGTCGATTTGGTATACGTGGTAGAGGTATCACTAATAATGTTAGGGGTATTATCAAAAGTAAACAGCCTGGGGGAGCACTTAGAAAAATTAATTGGGATGTAAGATCCTTAGAACCTTTACGTAAAGATTTTTATATTGAGCATCCTACAGTTAGAAACAGGTAAAAATTTTGAAAGCCTTCTCTTTTTTATTAAAAAGTGAGTTTAAATATCATATTTTACATTAGATCAAAGGAAGAAGTATGCCAATTTAGAGAAAATGCTGAAATAACAATAAAAGGAGATAATATACCTAATCCCATACAATATTTTGAAGAGGGAAACTTTCCACCTTATGTATTGGATGAAATACGTAAACAAGGCTACTCTCAACCCACAGCAATTCAAGCACAAGGATGGCCTATTGCACTCAGTGGCAAAGATCTAGTGGCCATTGCTCAAACTGGTTCTGGAAAAACACTTGGAGTAAGCAACATTAGAAATATATTAATTTTTAATTTATAAAAATGTATACATTTTTTTTTATTAGAAGTTTCACAGTATATGTAAAATTGAATTTTAATGAGTTCACATGAGGATATAAAATATAGAACTTGTACTAAAATATATTTTTTGTTTTAGTATGTTTTACCAGCAATTGTGCATATTCTACACCAACCTAGACTTGGTAATGGTGATGGTCCAGTTGCTTTAATCTTAGCTCCTACACGAGAATTAGCCCAACAAATTCAGGAAGTAGCCAATTGTTTTGGAGATTCAGCAGGTGTAAGAAATACTTGTATTTTTGGTGGTGCACCCAAAGGTCCACAGGCACATGATTTAGAACGAGGTGTTGAGATATGTATTGCTACACCAGGTAGACTTATTGATTTCTTGGAAAGAGGAACCACAAATTTACGCAGGTATAATCATAGTTTTTAATTAAATATTCAAACATTTCCTACATTTATAATGTAATGTTTTTTTAATGTATTTATTTACATATTTTTTTAGATGCACATATTTGGTGCTAGATGAAGCTGATAGAATGTTAGATATGGGGTTTGAACCTCAAATAAGAAAAATAATTGAACAAATTCGACCTGATAGACAGGTTTTAATGTGGTCAGCCACATGGCCTAAAGAAGTTCGAGCTTTAGCAGAAGACTTTTTAACTGATTATATGCATCTTAATATTGGTTCTTTAACTTTATCAGCTAATCACAATATTATTCAAATTGTGGATGTTTGTCAAGAATTCGAAAAGGACTTAAAATTATATAGATTACTTCAAGAAATTGGTAATGAAAAAGAAAATAAAACAATCATTTTTGTTGAAACAAAACGAAAGGTAGATGATATTACAAGAAATATCAGGCGAGATGGCTGGCAAGCATTAAGCATCCATGGTGACAAGAATCAGCAAGAAAGAGATCATGTGTTACAAGAATTTAAAAGTGGAAGAGCTCCTATTTTAGTTGCAACTGATGTAGCTGCTAGAGGTTTAGGTATGTATTATTTTTTAATTTAAAGTATTTAAATACTCAAAAATCGGGAGCATATGGGAATTGGCAACACTTATTGGATTAGCCAGTGATGCGTTATTAATAAGACCAGTGGACAGCTATGTATGTAGCAATGTGTGATTCATTGAAATTTTTTTTTATAGCAGAGCCCTGAAAATATACATTCATTAAATTTTATTTTTGGTTTGTTTTTGTACTTTATATGACATGTTTTAAACAGGTTTGTATTTTATTATCATTAATAAAATATATAAGATTATTTATGAATATTTACATCTATAACTAAATAATTTTTTGTTATGAATTTCAATAATAAAATTATGTAAAGGGTTCTAAAAAAATGCACACAAGCTACCACTAAGACTGTCTGCTTTTCTTTTTCAGAGGCACAGAGTACCCTAAGTGAACGCGGTGTACTGCCAGTATTGGGCAGACACAGTGAATGTTTTATTTTTCTTTGCTTGTATTATATCGATAATTATAGTAAAATATTGAAAAAACATGCTTTCAAGTTTAAAATTCTTATATAGCATTATGTATTTTTTCATCTTATTAACATGGTTTTAATATAAAATTCAAAATATTAACAGAAAGATTTTAATTTTTTAATTTGAT